TTATTTTCACAATTCCGGAACCGGATCTCAGTCATGCATGGATGGATTTTGTTCAGATTTAGTACAATGTGTTGTACATATGCAGGTGCATTTCGGTCATGATCTGCTTTGAATGTATATGTCACTCAAATATGAACGGAACGGGGACGTGTCATTGACAATGACTTGTTTTTTACTAGTTTTATCGAATTGTCAATATACTGGTATAATATAATAGCAATAACCCCCCGCCGAAGTTGGGTATACCACTTGATATTGCACAATTCACTCAATATATGCACTCGCCTGCGGCTCGTGCATATGTCGTGAATTGTGCAATATCTCGTGGTATGCCCGCCTTCGTCAGGGGGTTATTGCTTAAATATTGTCCTCTATTATTTGATGAATGTGTTGATGATTAGGGGTGAATACACAAATATTTACAGGTAAATATCACATGATTATTGCCTTGTAAATTTAAGGTGGTTTTGGGTAAATAATTTATTCACTAGACTTTATTGTCATCATAATGAAGGCGTGTCATTAATAATTTCCTTGCAGGCATTTTGTATACCTACCTTTTTACTTTTACAACAAAACAATGGTTTTCGAGATCATCCCGATACAGTAGATGATTTGTTCAGACTTGCAACACGGTAAGTTTAATATGAGAAAATTAAAATGGAGTTTTCTATAAATTTAATCTTGTTTTTGCAAATATGTTTAATTTGAGCTAATTATACTAATTACATTTTAGCAATTTCAGCATAAAGTTGTTCACATAATGCCATTGTTATATTTTGTTGCTATTTTATAATTTGAAGTAAATTTTAGCTGACTTAGAACTAGCTTAGCTGGCTTTGAAAACCACCATATACTATATCTACAGTACAGTCTAAGTGTGACTTAACATTTAGCTAGATTTCAGCTGACTTAAATTTAGTTATCCTATAATGCGACATTGTTTCTGTTCTCAGGTTTTTACAAAGATGTACAATAGCGTTTTTACAGTTCAGTATTTTGTCAGCACTGCTAGAATGTGGGCTTGCAGCAATATCCTTAGAACACAGAGATGCCAATGCATCCGTCATGAAATTCTTTAGAGATCTTATTTATTCTTCAACGGGTAATGAGGTAAGATTTTCTTGTCAACAGCTTCATGTTGTTTTGTTAATACTATAAATTTTACTTCTCAACAATAAGTTTTACTCACATTGCATCTGTCGCTATGGGAAACCATCTCGAAAATGATGCAGCACAACCACCCTTCTAGGTTGCATTCCTTCTTTGCCAATCTGTGTCATACTTGTACCCTCTGACCATCAAATGTTGAGATTGTGGATTGTTAATGAGGTATTAGATTTGTCAGTTTTGAAGCTATATTTGTAAACAAAGTGGTTGCCACTTGTCAGGAATTCTGGTATCACCATCATTCTTTCAAATGCTGGTAAAGGTGGTGATTTTTGTAGTTGAGGTTGGCATCCTGGGACCCTGTTGAAAACACTTCTTTGAGCAATACCAATCACAAGGATTACAAATTACTGTGGGCAGGGTCTCACTTTGATCCAGCTTTCAGACAGGGTTTTGAATCATTTATTTGCTACTATTAGTGTTCAGTGGCAGGGTTGAAGTTTTTTTTTTTTGTCTTATTGACCAAGTATGTTATAATTGATATAAAGTTGTGTTTTGTATGACTACAATTCCAATAATTTACTTATCGCTTTGTGCGAGATCTCGCAAGACTGTTAAATTTGCCTAGCAACCGGTTGCTATTCACGTGATACAGGTCAAGCTTTGATTCAGACAAATGGTTGTGTCTCGTGTCATGCATTGATTTTTTGAGTGATTTCTTGCATCCTTTCCATGTTTTTCGACCCTGGC